GGCTGTGTCTTATATTTTAAAGCACAGAGTCCAGGCCTTTGTGACTTCTAGAAGTTCTAGACTTCTAGTGTAGGCTGAGAGTCTAAGAGGAGAGAGAGGTGCTACCTGGAGGGAGGGACCCTGAACCAACAGTGTGCAGCCCTCATGCCTCCTCCTCCTAATGGAGGCCTCTGATCTCCGCTGGTCTGACTCCAACTTCCTGACTTAAAAGAAATAAGCACAGAATCATCATTTTGTAGGGAAAACAGAACCAGTAAAGAAAAACAAGAGATTCTGTTGATGAGGGAAGCCCAAGGAGCGTTCTGATCAATCTTCCTGTAGCCCTCCCTCCAGGGGAAGGTAGTTGCATTGGGTTGACCAAGGAGTTGCCTCCTCTGCTGGTGTCAACCTCATCTCTGCTTGAGAAGGTAACCGCCCAGCTCTGCAGCGCACTGGGCAGACCCCACCCCAGTGGGGAGTCGGGTCCTGGACTCGTCACGGTGAGGGAAGGGATAAATCAGATCTCACTTCAGGGCTGTCCCTGGGGTGAGGAGAATAGAAAATCTGCTATATGGGAGCTGGGGATATTTACGCCCAACCACCTGGCAGTGATGCAGATGGGCAGGAGCGAACTGAAGAAGACAATGGCAAGGGCAAGATGAGGTAGGGGACAGGGAGGAAGGAAAGAAGGCAGAAAGAGAAGGAGGGAGTGAAGAATGTCTTGTTGATGACTACTGACTGTAATGAGCCACTAGGCTGGGTGCCCTGCTTATCCGCTCTCTGTCTTGGGTATAGTCGCCAATTTATAAGAGAAGTTAGGAGCCTGCCCAGTGACGTGGATGCTCTAGGGCGAGGCTGGACCACAGTCCGGCTGTGTGGACTCTCCCTTCCTTGTCCTGCCTGGTCTGCTGCCATTATCCCTCTGAGCCTCCTAGAGAAGACACAACATGCATCACTGAGAAACAATCTGCTTTCAATTACCTTGTCTCAGGTAATTGAGACTTAAGCTTACCCAAGGGGAAGCAGTAACTTGAGGCTGCACTGTGCTTTGTCTCCACGTCAGATGTCTATGTGTTATGTCAGACATCATCCTGCATAACACTTGGCCACAAAACCTCCTCTCGTTTGCTGATGGATCACATGCTTCTGCCCTGTCGTCCTCCAAGTACCTGATGCCTGGCTTATCACTGGGTAGGATTCATCAGTTCTAACTGCCCACCTGAAGTGCTTCCTGTGATGGGGGGAGCTGAGAAAGTCTGGGAACAACTGGCCTTCCTCAGTGCCACCAGAAGACACATCCTGGGGACAATGTTTATTTACATTACAAAGGAACCTGATAAAAGATTGAGAAATACTTCCGACGTTAATTGCACTGAATCATATGATTATATGGATTAAGTGAGCATTCAGCATTGGATCGGATTATCCTCTTGTCACGCTTCTGCATATGTAAGCACCCCCCACAGAGCAAGTGACAAGTGCACGAAAGACCAGATTCAAATTCCAAGCACTGAGTTAGCTCCATCACTAAGTTCCCCTCCTTCTGTGGTTTGTTCCCTCGAGCTGCTCACTGCCTGTGTGGCTTTGCTGTAGAGTCTAGTCTGTCACCCAAGGAGGATGAATGTTATGGCAGCCATGCAGTGGGCTTTGCTCCTGTGCTAGTACGTCAATGGAAAAGTGTTGAATGACTGGGCAAACCAATTGCTGTAAGTGATCTGAGGTCTTACCTTCTCCTTATCTGATCGTTTACTATAAGTAATTCGTCGTGAATTTCAGCATCATTTCTCCCTGGCAAACGACACTCTTTTTACCTCTCACCTGGTCCCTCTTGCTCATGACATGAAGATCTGGTGTCTTGAAATGGACCATGTCAATGAGTCAAATCCAGGGTGCAGATGTTTGTCAAATTTCCTAGTAAGAGGTGGTCAGGACCACCCCTGGGTCCCTGGGATTCGAGCCCAGTTTTATGACTGTGGTCACTTTTTAACTAGCCCACTCCCGAAGCACTTCCAGTGAATGACAGAAGGCAGGGGAATTGTGGGGACACGCTTGCCTCATGTTCTGACTCATCCTTAACTAGCTGGCTGATACTGAAGAAGTCCCTAAATGGCTCTGATCCTCGGTGTCCTCATCCATAAACAGGAGCGCTCACATCCACCACCCACGGATGTTCTACAGGTTACAGGAGAGACGTCACACGGACGCAGCCTGGAACAGAGCACACGCTCTGCAGATGCGAGCTTCCTTCTCTCCTCCCTCCTCCCTGTCATGCTCTCTTCCACAGGCATGGCACTCTGCCTATCCTCCTCTGGTTTCTGTCATCGGTGCCTGGGGTCAGAGAAAAGGCTGGAAGTAGAGGTTGTGGTGCTAAGACCAAAGCCACAGCGGGTCATGTTTGACTCTTAGGAGAAGCCTCAGTCTCCCGAAGTCAGCCATAGTAACGCTATAAATCTCTATCATGTGATGGATGTCACGTTGAAGAGAAAGGAGTCTTGGTTCTGGTAGTTCTGGAAGGGAGAACTAGGTCCAGCAAGCAGAAACAGCACGTGGACAGGCACTGGCGTTACAGAAGATGGAATTTTTTCATCAGTTAGAAATGTTGGGCAGTGAAGCTGGCAGCCTCTGAGGTTGAGTGGCTATGTGTGGAGGATCTTGTCAAGGGATCCACACATTTGACAGAGTTTGGACTAGGTGACAGCTGGCCCCTGTGGATTGTTCCCAACTGGGGAACAATGTCTTTGGTGCTCAGCACACTTGTTCAGATGTCTAAATCACACAGCAGAATTGCAGACAGCAACTTTTAAACCAGTGTTACATCTCATGGAGTTCTGGCATTCTTTTAAGATTATTTTAAGAGACGTGGACGGTTTGGGACTAACAAGAAACTGACCAGAAAACTTAAAAGAAAAGAGGAATGAGGGGCCGGCCCCGTGGCTTAGCGGTTAAGTGCACGCACTCTGCTGCTGGCGGCCCGAGTTCGGATCCCGGGTGCCCACTGACGCACCGCTTCTCAGGCCATGCTGTGCCAGCGTCCCATATAAAGTGGAGGAAGATGGACATGGATGTTAGCCAAGGGCCAGTCTTCCTCAGCAAAAAAGAGGAGGATTGGCATGGATGTTAGCTCAGGGCTGATCTCCCTCACAAAAAAAAAAAGGAGGGGTGGGGGAATGAGATGTCCATAGGGGTCATTGAAAAACTTATACCTGGTAATCTAGAGAAAGTAAGCTTTTGTGGGGGTTTTTGATGTCTGTGCCCATTCGTGTCTCTGGCTCGCCAGCTTCTCCAGCACCCAGGCTAGGTTATGTGAGGCAGAAAGAAAACCCGGGGAGAAAACTCACCCCTATGTCGCTCTTTGGGCCCAGAGGTCCCTAGCCAGCCTGCCTTCTCTCCACTGCTCAGTCTTCCTATGACTGTTTCACGCGTAGGGTCCAGGGTGTTGAGTCGTACTCAGTGGGAAGAATAAGAAAAAGTACATCGGCTCCATTTTCCTGGAAGCGGAAATTAAGGGATATTCTTCTTGCTTGACATTGCCTTATCTTTTTGCTGGTTGGCATTATTTATCTGCCTTTTATCTTGTTAATGATTTTTCATTTTATTTGAAAAATATCTCTGGATCTGGAGAGCTCCTGAGCCAAGAACGGGAATGTGTCTGCAGATTCATGACCACAACCGACCATGGCCTCATCTCTCCACAAATCCTTCCAAGATCCAAGATCCAAGATGGCTCCAGAACAAGTCACAGCTTCCTGGGAGTCTGGCGTTTTCAGTCTGTGATGGTTCATTACCTCAGAAGCCGAGACCGCTGTTCACTGTGGCCTGCCACGCCTGGGCCTGGCCAGTCACAATACAACCAGAAGTTTAATCCAGTTCTCGTTTGTTCTGTTTTGTTTTTTCCTATTGAATAGTCAGTGGGTATAATTGCATGGATGAGCTTTGTAACTATAACTTTCGTGCCAGAAATACTCCCCAACACTTTTGGTTCTGTAGAGTTTGAACCCAATCACTTTAGCTGATGGCAAACTGGGGCCGGCGTGGCAGACGGCCTGCCGTCCTGACGCCGCCGAGCAGAGCATCTCTGTGAGGCAGACGAAGGCTCAGAAGAGGTTGACGGGGTCCCGACAGGTGCCCTAATTTTTGCTTTTTAAAGAAAACAGGAAGCTTGCAGCAGTAGGGAGGAGGACTCATTACTGTTAGACCCGTGCTATTATACCCACTAACTATTTAACAGAGAAAAAAGAAGAAAGAAAACTGGATTGAACGTCTGGCATTTTATTACACAGAAATATCAACAGGTCACCTTCCCTACGTGGCAGCTTCCCACCCAAGTAGGGATCCTCTCGACCACCAGGAAAGACAGTTTGCCTGTTTCTCTTGTGTCTGAATACCCCCAACACCATCTGAAAGAGGCAGCCCAACCACAGCCAGAAATATCTAGGACAGAAAGACAGCAGAATGAAAACATTGCTGCCTGCCTTCCACTTGACCGATGTGTGCAGCGAACATTTCATTCTTTCCTTACAAATGCATCAAGGGAAGGACACTTCAGGGTTGAAAGGCAAGGATGCCAGATTGGCGTTCTTTAAAAAGGAGAATTCTAAAATCCGGAAAAAAATCAAAACAAGCAGCCATAGCTTGTATCCAGGGTGTACTTGCTGCTGTTTGTAGAACAAGCCCAGTGACAGGATTTGCAAACCGCCTTCAATCCAGACAGCAGCTCTGCCCCACGACCATGATTCACATTATACCCGGCGAGCGAAGCCAAGTGCGTGTGCATTCTCTGTAGCACCTTCGAGAAACAAGCTTGACTCTGTGGGTGAGATATGAATATATTAATTTGCTGGAAACTTAGTTTACTAGAGAAAGATTAACAGATCTGTGACATGCGAAAGCTCTCGGATTTCTCGCCCGTGGGGTACAGAGGAAGGATTGTTTGTGGTGCTGGTATGAGGTATCGACAAACTTGGGCAGAGTGATGTTACAATGAACACAACGTCTCGCCCTGTTACTTGCTCGGGGCATTTTGGGAGAACAGCAGGACACACACCCCTGGGAGGAGTGCACAGCTGGAAGTTAGCCTGACTGAGGAAAGGTCTGGACCAAAGGCTGCTTGCTTTCTAAAGTAAATTCACTCTCACCTTTTGACTTTTGGTCAAGAGTTGCTCTGAGCTGGCTGCAGCCTCTCTCAGCCACATTTGTAGCAGTGCAGGGAAAAGCATCAAGATTGCTCCTGCCTCCAGTAATAATGCCAACAGTCGATGACATTCTAGAGCACATAGGAGAATTTAACTTTTTCCAGAAACAAACATTTTTCCTCTTAGCTCTGCTCTCTGCAGCGTTCACCCCCATCTACTTGGGCATCGTCTTCCTGGGCTTCATCCCGGACCACCGGTGCCTGAGCCCCGGGGTGGCCGAGCTGAGCCGGCGATGTGGCTGGAGCCTGGCCGAGGAGCTGAACTACACTGTGCCGGGCCCGGGGCCGGCGGGCGACGCCTTCCCCCGCCAGTGCCGCCGCTACGAGGTGGACTGGAACCAGAGCGCCCTCGGCTGCGAGGACCCGCTGGCCGGCCTGGCCGCCAACAGGAGCCACCTGCCGCTGGGCCCCTGTCAGCACGGCTGGGTGTACGACACGCCCGGCTCCTCCATCGTGACCGAGGTAAGTGAGCACAAGACCTAGACATCCAAAAAGCAAATGGTGCAGCTTTTCTTAAGGAAGAAGCCAGCAAGGCCTGGTTCTTATACTGTGCCCAGGCATGCTCTTTGAACTCAAAGTATCTTATAAAATCTTAGTTTCCAACAAAAACATGTAGCCTCTTGTTTGTATGGAGTATGAGTGGATTGGTTAAAACTTTATCAAATTCTGACAATAATGATTCTCAGGTATGCAAGTCTCAGCGCTAAGAAACAAGCAAACGCATATCAGAATTCCTGGAACTAGTGCTGGGAAGGGTCGTTTTCAAGCCTCCTCTTTTTCTGCAAGTCCTATCCCCCCTCCATCCTTCCACCATACGAATGGACACCTGAAAGCTCATGGAATTCACCCAAACGGTGCCTTACTGTAATATGATGAACTTTTCTCTTGATGGCTATTTTTTTCTCTTTAATTTGCTCAAAATGTCTATATAAAACCATTTGGGGTTGGAGCTTATGCTATGGTACTATTATTTTATTAAAAACCACAGTCAACATTAACATCTCATGGTGAAGCCTCATTTCAATAAATAGAAAACAAAAAAAAAAATGGAGACTTGCTTTTATTGGAGGCAAAGCAAAATGGAGGGATGAAATTATTCTGAAAATATAGAGAAAGCCAGTTGCCTAGCTTGATTTAGAAGGACTGCTTGGATAAGGTGAAGATATTCCGTATGAACAGACATTCAGTTAGAGGAGCCTTTTTTAAGAGTCTAAAGTGGTTTAATAGTCACATAAAGGAGGAGCATAGATTTAATACCATACAACTTTAAGAGGCTTTATAGCATGGCTAATCTCATCCCTTCATTCAGAAATGAGAAAACTAGGCCCAGAGCTGAGAAAAATTTTGCCAAAGGCCACAGAGAGAATTAACAGTGAGCCTAGAAACCGGATCTGCTGACTTCCAGGCCGGCACCTGTTTCTCCTTCAACACGGCCTCTTGTTCCAAATGGGAGCAAATGTAACAGCATTTAGCAAGATGCTCCTGCTATTAAGGAGACAGCAAAGAGACGATGACCATCCCAGCTTCCTCGGGGCAGCATTTGTATCCTGTTCACACACCTATTTGCCTCTGTGTATTAAAGTTAGGAAAAATGGTTTGTGCAGAAATGGAGTAATTACCCAATTTCAGCTGATTTAGCCAACAATAGAGTTTAGCCTAATGACATACTGCCAGACGGAATGCTAAAGAGATTGCAGGACAAATCTTTTGGTTGTGTAAAGAAAATTAATACGAGCAAGAAAGTTGGTCTATTGCCATTCAGCCACATCAGTTCAATGCAAGGAATATTTAATGCGTTCCCTGCATGGAGTTATGTCTAACAGGATTTTATTTTCTTTCTCTCCTCACTCGGGACACCTCTCGCCCTTACGGCAGTTTAACCTAGTGTGTGCCAACTCCTGGATGCTGGACCTGTTTCAGTCAGCTGTGAATTTCGGATTTTTCATTGGTTCAATGAGTATCGGCTACATAGCAGACAGGTAGGTGCAGCACGAAAAAGATGGTGGAATTTAAACGGTCCGCAGGTTCGGAAAGCACTTGGATTCACCTGCCCCTGCTTGAATATCATCGTTTCCCAAAGCACACAGGCCACAATTTCCTGGCCTGATTTCCTAGGGTTGTCTTGGCAGTCATCGAGTTCTGCTGCTGCTTCGAGAATCATGATCGATGTCCTTATTTTCTAAATCTCTGGGGCCATAGAGGGATGTTTCAACATTAGTCAGCAGTCTTCCTTGTGGGCTATCCAGAAGCTTAGGGTGAGAAGGCACAGTAGTAGATGATTTGATCCCTTTTGTAATTCCCAGTTCATTCTTTGGCCTCATTGCCATCCATCCATGTGGTCATGAGCCTTCGCGGCCACTGAGCTCTCTCCTATCCTCTGCCTGCCTCTCCTATACCAAGAGCCAGCCCAGACTCTCATTACTGCTCTCCTTACCTTAGCCTGTAGGATTGCAGAATTCCAGAATTGGGGCCCTGGGGCCAGGTGTAATTATATATATGGAATTTAGGATATAATTTGGTGGAAGGGAAACAGGGTCTGTCTACACTGAGGGAGGTAAAAATCCACTTCCATAATGTCAGTGTCCCTGGAGAGGGATGAGGAAAGACCCCTCCACAAAGAATGTACAGCAAATGATCCTCCAGATGGGTCCGTGTCTTCTGTGGCTAGTTTTCCGTGACTCATGCTAATCCCAGCTATCCCGATGCCTTTTATTTATCCATCATTTTGTAATCTCAGATTCGCTACACTGAAAGTTCCTTATAACATGCATCTTTACTCTGTTGATGACCAATTAGATATTTTTAGGAGTCCTCAAAAGGGAAAGGGACTGAAAAATTTGCTTTACACATGATAAGCACTTTAGAGAACTTGGCCATCAGGGCTAATTATTTAATACTCATAATGCTGACAATTGATTGAGTATTTCCACATGCCAGCCACGGTGCTCAGCATTTTGGATGGTATCATCCTCTTTAATCATCCATCACCTAGTGAGATAGTGACCTATAACTATATACTAAATATATAGATAATCTATTATAATTTATTTTAATATTTATAATTTATTATAAAATATAAATATATATATTTAATTCTGAAATAAATGGTAAATACACTTTATGCTTATTGCCCTCCCCAACTATATCTATGATACAGATAAACCCAATCCTGTGAGTATAATATTAAAGGTAAATGGATTATTTTTCTGATTATATTATATTATCAGGCTGGATTAAAACTTGCAAATGTGTTAGAGATTAGTAAAATGGCTTAATCTATCACACCTCCCAGGGACATCTGCACTTTCACAGCCTGGGGCCCACTGGCAGCAGGAGGGAGGGAGAATGACAGCTGAGGTACTGGCCCACAAGGCAGCTCCATCCATCACATCACTTCTAGAACTGTCTGCTCAGCCTTCCTTCAAAGGCTTTTTCTGGGACTTTGTGTGGGAGGCTTATGAGATGAAGAGGAAGGTCATATGCTTTTATTTTTATTGCCAAAGGTCTGAGGACAGTGACTTGGATATGACTCCTTAGGTAGTCAGGAGACACAGTGACAAGGGGAAGTCCAGAGTCCAGTGTGTGGCCGTCTGGCCCTGCTGGTTCCTTGCTCCCTCTCACTCCCTCCTTCACTGTAAGGTGCAGATACTAACACTCAACTTGCCAGGACAGAAGTGAGTAAATAGGTGACTGAGCCTTGCAGCTGGTTAAATAAATGAGTTAATTATTCTCATCCCACTCAAAGAGTAGGAGATGGGTTATAATGTTCTCCTGACAGTGCATTCCTGAGGTATAATCCCCAGTCAATTATCCACCTTCTTAGATGACCTCATTACTTTGTTCCTATTGTTGACATCTCCTGTGTAAAGTTGATTACTCATTATTCTTCCCCCCAAAACTGTGTACATACCTCTATTTCCTGTTCTTAAACTGTCTGAAGTTTTGTTGGTTGTTGCCCCTTCTTTCTGTTCTATTTGTCTGTGCGTGTAAGAGTGTGCAATAAGATAACCACGATAGAGTGAGAAAAAAGACAATTTATCTTTTACATACTTAATGCCTATTTCTGAACAATTTTCAGATTTTATACAATGGGACAAGAATCTTATGGAAACCCATATTATGCTACAGATTAAACCAACATTAAATAAACTAGATTGTCTTCTATGAAGAATTTTAAAAATATGACCTAACAGCTGATTAGGATATCTTTTAGAAGAAATCCAGGAGGATATTATGTAAAGGTCATAAATGAGAATACTGAGTCTGAAACCAAGTCAACTTTCTGAAGGTCAGCTTTGCAAATGGAAAGAAGGAAGCAAGGAAGCGAGGAAAGGAGGGAGGGAGGTAGAGAGGGAGGAAGGAGGGAAGGAAGGAAGGAAGGAAGGAAGGAAGGAAGGAAGGAAGGGAAAGAGGGGGGCCGAGGGGAGGGAGGGAGGGAGGAGAAGGAGAGGAGAGGGAGAAAAACATGATTAGAGAAGTTGAAAATAAACCTTTTATAAGATGCTAATTTATTTCATCATCCAAACCTCCTCAAGAATGATCTTGAGTATCGCCTGACACAAAAAAGGTAATCTCTCACCAATACCAGGTTTTTTACTCTAAGATTCAATAATTATAAGTGCTATATTTAGTGACATGCTTGTAAATGTTTAACAACTGGTGGTCTGAGGGAAAAAGCCCCAAGTTGTAGCATTTGCTGATTTCTGTGGCGTAAATACTCCCACAGTGGTCCATTTCAAGCCACCAAAATGACGTCACTGAACAGAGTTGGCTAGAAATATACAGCATTGTATGGTATTTCTACCATACACATACAACAGATAGATGTAAATAACTTCATGAGCATAGATAATAGCCCAACACAGTAAAATAATTAGGAAGTGATGTTTTGCATATTTATTACACTTGTTTTTAATACACTTTACTTAATCGTAAGTGTATAATTTAATTTTTAATAATGGCTGTGCTTAACAATTAGCTCGAAAATTTTCTGAAAGCCTACGAGTCAACTCTCAAGAGCCAGCACCCCACTGTCTATATTTCACGATGGAACTAGATCAAAGCAGATTCAAAGTCCTAGGGGGTCTCAGTCAAACTTATCCAACTGTGTGGAATTTTCCAAAACAAGGTATTCACTCCCTATGCTACGCCAGTCACTGTATTGAGCATCCTCGTGTGTTATATTCCATTTAGGATCATAGCCTTTAAAAGGAGATTTTATTATCTCCAATTTGGAGATGAGGACACAGGTTCAGTGAAATGAAAGCAGTGCTTCTCAAATGTCAATGTGCATATAAACCACCTGGGGATCTTGCTAGAAGTCGAATTCTGATCCGGTGGGTCTGGAGTGGGCTTGAGAGTCTGTGTCTACTACTCCTAGGTGGTGTTGACAGCCTTGGGCCACATTCTGAGTAACCAGTAGCTAAAGGATTTAGGAAGCCAGTGGTCCTGGAGCCCACCCCTCTCCCCTGTTTTATCTCTTTGTTTTTCATTTAACCACTTAAGTGGTACTATGGGGTGGGGCAGGGAATAGTCTCAAACCACTATCCCAGGTCTCCAAAATGTCTTCTAGCCCTGCCTTGTTTTTTAAATAGCATTGAGTCCTCATTTGGGACGTGTCCTCCAATTAAGTTTTTCTGCATTATGGATTTGGTTTTCTGAAGGTTTTTCATGCTCTGAGTTTCAAATAGTGAACATTCCTTCTCATCTGCCCCAGGATTTTGTCCATCTACAGGAGCATGACTGTGGTGTTTACAGTATGCCCAAGTCAACTTTGGAAGTTGGGGAATTATCACTTGAGCACAGGTTTATAAACTCTTTGAGGGTAAAGGAGGGGTTTGGGTAGGAGAATGTGGGAAGAAAGGCTAAAACATTATGTTGAGAGATGCCTTTGGAAGGCTTTAAATAAAAGGCCAAGGGATATATAGTTACAATGGAGAACCACTGAGTGAGAATCAAAAAATGACATGGGCAAAACAGGGTCTTAAGGAGTTTAGTGGTTTACATTAATTACTAATGAGACTGCTTGATCTTTAAATTTCAGATTTAAAGCATTAATATTCCCAAATGATTATTAATGATGTTGCAGATATTTTCAGTTGGTCAGTTAGTATTGAAATGGGCACTGGAACACAGTTGCCTAATAAGACGAGCAGCAATTTAAAAACGTCCAGCCACCATTAAATGTGCGATGCTGATGCCATAAAGCACGAAGGACTATTCAGTTTGAAGTGGATAAACAAAGATTAATAAACATTGTTACATGAATATCTCACTTAATCCTCTGTCCACTGGGTCAAATAGGTCTTTTCCAGATGAAGAAATTGAGAAAGGTTGAATAACTCACCCAACCTCAGCAAGCAGTAAGGCCAAGGGAAAACCCAGGTTTGCAAGTTATCCTCCACTCTGTGCACTGAGGCACTCTCCAGGTCCCTAAACTGATGAAACCTAAGTCCCTCAAATAAAATGTGTGGAAGCTATCCTGCCAGGGTACTCCATAACAAAGGCCCTATGAGATGGCAACATATGAAGTGACAACAGCTCGACACAAAAGACCATTTCCATGAGGACACGCAAATCCCACAATGTCCAAAAGCAGAGTTGAAAATGGATGGGGGCGTACGTTAAACACTGAATTTTGTTTTTTCTAAAGCAAAAACTCTTGGGTGGGCAGTTGGTTAAAGCTGTTAGTGCAAAGGCTCCAGCTCATATGATGATGGAAGACCTAGACAGGCCCCCAGGCCATTCAGCACTGGGTGGCCTGGAAGAATCACCCTCTTCCTGAATACCCTCCACAGTGTGGGACTGAGAAGGTACTGTAGCCCTGGAGTGAATGGGGCTTATTGTGCTTTAAATTTATACATAGTGCTCTGATGAAAAGCCCTAAACAGAACTGCCCTGGAGTCAGAGATTCTCTTGGTAGGTATCAGTCCGTGCCTCCTGAATTTCCATAATGCAGAGTTGACCTGCACTTTAGTTTAGGTTTCCGTAACCTCCATGATTTTTCTACAGCCTTCATGAATCTAATCTAATTCTATTCCCTCTCGTTGTTTTTCTCCTTTCAGATTTGGCCGTAAGCTCTGCCTCTTGATTACAATCCTCATAAATGCTACATCCGGAGTTCTCATGGCCATTTCCCCAACCTACACATGGATGTTAATTTTTCGCTTGATCCAAGGACTGGTCAGCAAGGCAGGCTGGTTAATAGCCTACATCCTGAGTAAGAATGCTTGTGATTGCAGCTGTGAGAACGAAGGGACATTACTGCCAAAACACAGTTGGGTGGGGGGGGTAGCTGTGCAGAAACGTGGACTCGGCTTCAAGGCAATGTTGAGAGATTTCTTTTTCTTTGTCAAAAGAATTTCTAAAATCTTTTCAATCAACTCATTCTGCATTCCTCCTATAAAGAAAACAGTGAAGGCAGAAATGAGGGTAAACATCATGCTATCCAGATTCTTATATAACTCTCGGAATTTTTTGTTGTCTGTACCCTGGGGTGTTACACAGAGAGAGAATCTAGCCTACCAAGCCTATATATAAAGAAAATTCAATGATGAGAGATATATTAGATTTATAAGGGACTTTATTACTTCGCATAAATCCATTCTAGTAAACCACAGTTATCCTCAATTTATGTACAAGGAAACTAAGAGCACAAGTCCTGTGGTCAATGTAGGATCCTCGGCAAACCATTTGTAGGACCAGGAATATCATTTACATCCTACTCCTTAGTAGCCTGAGTTGTGCTTAAGCTCCATGGAGTATAGGAGAATATATGCATTCTAACAGCATGGTATCTTTAAAGCAATATCAAGAAAAATTACCACCATAATCAGTTCGCGGGAATTAACTCCATCAATACTTTCTCTTTGGGTACATTCAAATAGCATCCATGCAAAGGGAAATGGACATTTTGAAATTAAAATAATAATAACAAAGCTCTCATTACACATGCGAGAACTAGAATATGTGTGCTTAAAATTTTACCTGGTAAGGTTAATTTGGGGAATGCTGTGAGATGAAGAGGAGATGGTGCTTAATACTACTAGGTACCTGTCATGGTAGACACCTAATCTATGTTTGGTCAACAAAGGAATTAATGTATGCAGTTATTCGATCAGTGATTTGGTTCCTAGAACACATAATATGTAGAAATATGTAGAATTTAATTGTATAAATTTAAATTTCAGCAACAGTTAATTTCAACCTCCTCCCATTAATTTCTTCTCCAGTCCCTCTGAATGTCATTGAGGTACACCTTGCCACTCAACCCCTTTCTAGCCCATCCCCATCAGACCTCGTCCATGACCCAAATCACTTCGAAAGACAAACATTTCTATTTATTGAGCACTTACATAATTTTGTTTAACTCTATTTTAAAATACTTTTGGATAATTCGCAGTAATTTGTAGAAATATTTCTAGAGAGCATTCCTATTTGGTTTATAAATAGTTGAAGTCCTTCACATGATTACCAAACAGTTAAAGCAAAAACTCTGTGGCTCATGGAAGATCTGGAATTTCAATTCTAGTATGTTTGTAATATAAAAATGACTATTCCCTACATCCATGTACCACAGACTTTACGCATCTGTCATGATGAAGTCATGGGATGGGATAAAGCTGATTATTATACCATGGGCAGTGGTATGCCAATAAACTGGGTCTTGGAAAATAAAAAGCCTTGACTTATAGTGTTTTCCAATTTCTAAGTTGTAAATACTCCCACCATGACTGATTTTAAGATGCCAATGGGTTTAACAACCAGCTTGCAAAATTCTTGAAAATGTAAGAATCAGTTCTTGCAAGCCACTACTAGCTGACTCCAGTCAGCTTGGAAACTCATTGCTGGGTTTCCAAGCCATTTTATGCACATTAACAGGTTTGCCAAGGAAACGTTTAACTTATGGAAGAGAACAGTTATATTGAGGTATTCATTTACATAAAAGTCATCTACAATCTAAAGTGAATGTTTGATTCATGTATTCAGATCTTAAATTATCACTGCCTTATTACACTAGATCAAAGTTTTGCATGGATCTGAAATATTATTGCATTCATCCTTGAAATTATTCTATGAATCAAATATTTCGCTTATGTTGGCATGCCTTTCACCCCATCTAATGTGGGCTTATAAGATTTTACATTAATTAACACAACAGCAATAATTATAACAAAATAGGCCCCAACGAACATTTTTAAATTTTCAGAGAGCTGTAGAGAAAATTCTAGAATTTGGACTACTTTTTTTGAGGTTGGCATTCTAGTTTTCCCATAATGGGACAGCCAACTCACTGTTGTCCTGACTTGCGTTGACCATTTGGGTTCTCTCTGCAGTTACAGAATTTGTCGGGCTGAGCTATCGGAGAACAGTGGGCATTTTTTACCAAGTTGCCTTCACCTTTGGGCTCCTGGCGCTTGCTGGGGTGGCGTACATGCTTCCTCACTGGAGATGGCTGCAGTTCACGGTTACTCTGCCCAACTTCTGCTTCTTGTTCTATTATTGGTAAGTCCATTTGGCACAAAAAGGAGATAAACTGAAATATTTTATTTTGCTAAAAAGGCTGCCTTCCCTAGCACACAGTGTCCTTCTGAATTGTAAGGTTTCCTTCACTCTCCAGGCCTGTTTCACAGGAAGCCCAGGTCCAGGTTTCAGGAATGAAATGTATGAGCTTCGATCTGTCTCCCGCTCTGGAAATCAAATGTCCTTTCACTTTGGGTTTAAGAATCTTATGACTTGAATCTTACATTTTCACATTATTTATGTGGTGTTTAAATTAGCTTCTAGTGGCTGTGGTACCCTTTAAAGAGATTGACAATATTATTGTTTTTGTTCTGTCCCTCCTCAGAAGAAACTTTAGGATGGAGAAGGTGGAGCGTGACACTTGTGTCACCACTTCCCCACATCCGTGCCCAAAGCAGACATCCCCAATCAATCCCAGCAGTCTTTATCCCAGATATGGCCAACGTGGCACCCTAGACAGACCAATCAATCAGAGTTACCAGGCACATGAAATATGTTTGTCCCTCCTGCCCAAGAGAAACATGGAAAACAGTAAACACAGCAGAAACTATCAGAAACCCCTAATGCGAGGTAATCTGAAATAAAGCAAGAGGGATGCTGGATTTATCGACCAAATCTCTCTCCCATGCAACAACTCACTTATTTAGTTCCTGGACATATCCACCTGTTCTTCTTATAGTTGTCTTGTCTAAGAATTAAACATCTCGACCTTCCCTGGAAGCCTGTTTCTCCTCCAAAAGCCAGTAAAACTCTGAGAAGGACCTTAGCTCCCTCCCTATATCCCTTCTACCTCCTTTATGTCTCTGAATCCACTCCTTTTTATCCTTTCCCCTTGGGAATTCATGATTTCTTGCCTGGACTGCTACGATAGACTCATAACTGGTCTCTTCGACATTTGCATCATCATCCTCTAATCCACGCTTCACACTATATTTCAAAAATCTAGTTCCACTCTGTTACTCTCCTGCTTAAAAGTCTTTCAATAGTTCTGTTCCCCTCGGAAGAAAGACCTAATGCTTTAGCATGACAGAAGAGGCCCACCTATCATCCAGGCTCTGACCTCCTCTGATGCACATTTTCTTGCCACTTTCACTCAATAGAATCAAATTTAATTTAATTACAATTCTACAAGCTCCATGATGGGACTATACTTTCAAAAGATCACTCAAGATACAGAATAGAAAACAGGTGTTTTGGGGAAGAATGGAGGCAAGGAGATCAGGTAAGAGACTTGCCATTGTCCTTGCAAGAGAGGACAAGGGCCTGAATTAAGACAGCAGTTGTGGGTATGAAGAAGAAAAAATTATAAACAATTTAATAAGGTGGCAATGACAGAGCTTGGTGATAGACTAAAGGTGGAGGTTTAGAGACAGGAGGTGCCGAGTGGATGACACTTGGAGTTTAGGCTTGTGCATCTGCCTATTGATGGAGGTGTCACTCAGGGAGATAAGGAACACAGAAGGAGGAGTGGGTTTGGAAGGAAAGATGATGAGGTGAGATTTGGGCATAAGGAATTTGAGGTGTTGGAAGGACATCAACATGCAGACCTCCACGGGCAATTAAACTGAGGGATCAGGAATTCAAGTGAAATTCACCTCTTTGTTGTAGCTATGGAGAGGGATGAGATCACTCGGAGAAAATGAACAGAGCCGGGTGAGGAAGGAGATGGGGCAGAACACGAGAAAACACCAATTTTGGAAAGCCAAGCTGGGGAAGAAGAGCCAGGACTGAAGAAGAGTGAAGTGGCACCATGAGTGAGAAAGGAGGAGTTACAGAGGAGGAGGGGTGTGGAAGTCACAGGAGGAGGGAACCCGTGCAAGCCTCACCTTCCCTGAAGCTATTCCTGATCAGCCTGCCAGGTGGGCTGCTCTCCCCTGCTAGGTAGCATTGTACACACATCTCTGTAACCCTCACATCTCACTGCTTGTTGGGATCAATTGTTGACTTGACATCGCATGACCCTACTGTCTGTCCCAGTGGGCTGTCAGCTCTTTGAGGTCAGATAACATTAGGGGTCCTCTGGCCCAGCTTCCTGTCCAGGACTGGAGTCCCATAGCAACTGGGTGATTATCCAGCCTTTGCTTGAACAGTGTCATGGATAACGCTTACTTCATCATCAAGTAAGCCGCTACCGTAGACACCAAAGCTTGTGTTCCAGAGACATTTCATTGAGCCATAATTTATATTCCCATCAAATTTACCCAGTGTTCCTAATTCTAAATTTAGAACTTCAAAAAATTACTTTAACTTCTATTCTACCAGGCAAGTCTTTAACTATTTGGATATGCCTCTCAGAGTGCATCAGACTTTTCACCTCTAGGCTTACCACTTCTGGGTCCTACCTTCTCTGGCCTGGTTCCCGAGTTCTTCACCTTCTTGGCCCTTCAGCTCAGGTAATAGTTGTCCCAACTGACTCTGCTTCCTGAAGTGTGGGTAGACAGAGCTGAACACAAGCACCAAGTATGATCTAGAAAAATTGCCCTGCAGCATCACAGAGGAGAGGATCCGAGCTGTGAGCTGTGGATTGACCACCGCTGAGCACACTATGCTTCTGTTCCTGATGTGGAATCTTAAGCGAGGAATTGTCCTGGACTCCTCTCTCCATTGCACTCCCACAAAAACATCCATCCTGAGTTCCTTTTGGGCCCCACCTCTCAGAGCAATCCTTCTTTCCCAGAGTGATGACCCCCACTGGGACTTTCCTGATTCTAAGCCAGAACTACCACCAGAGAGTCCTGCCACCTCCTTCCTCACAGTCCCTCCTCCTCCCATCTGCCCTGAATGAGCTGCTCAGAGTACTCTGCAGACACGGATCCAAGTGCCTATCATGCTGCTTAAGGATGTACAGGGGCTCCCTGTGTCCTGCTAGGTCAAGCTCAATCTGTACAGTCTGGCTTTTAGGTTCTCCCACCATCTGACCTCAAACTCTTATCTCATTCCTTCAGGAACTCAGCTCTCAGAATTGCTTTCCCTCATGATGGTCTGCACCCTCCCACCTCTACACCTCCACACATCTGTCAGTTCTCACCCCCTTTGCAAAGCCTGGAGCCCACCCCAGCTGACATGCCTCTCCTCCCTGTGGCACAGAACTGGATATTCAGCTGCACCCGGATTTGCAGTTTACTTCCCATGGTTCCACTGGGAACTCTCTGAAGAGGGGACCCAAAGGCTCCCTGCACAAGGCTGAGTAGAAGTCAGCATTTGAAGGGGGAAAGAAACATGTACCCTGCAGAATTTTACAAAAAGTTTTTTCTTGTGATGAGGACTTTTAAGATCTACTCCCTTAGCAACTTTCACATGTGCAATACAGTGTTATTAACTATAATCACCGTGCTCTACATTACATCCCCATGACTTATTCATTCTACACCTGGGTGTTTGTACCTTTTGACCAGTTTCACGCATTTTGCCCACCCCCAACCGCCTGCCTCTGGCAACCACCAATCTGTTCTCTATATCTATGAGCTTTGGTTTTTGTTTTGTGTTTTTTGAGATTCCACATATAAATGGGATCATACGATATCTGTCTTTCTCTGTTTGACTTATTTCACTTAGCATAATGCCCTCCAGGCCCTTCCATTTTGTCACAAATGGCAAGATTTCATTCTTTCTTATGATTGAATAATATTCCAAATTTCTTATCCGTTCATCTATTGATGGACACTTAGGTTGCTTCCATGTCTTGGCTATTGTAAATAATGCTGCTATGAACATGAGGGTGCATACATCTTCTCAAGTTAGTGTTTTTGTTTTCTTTGGATAAATAGCCAGAAATGGAATTGTTGGATCATATAATAGTTCTATTTTTAATTTTTTGAGGAACCTCCATACTGTTTTCCATAGTGGCTGCACCAATTTTCATTCCCATCAACAGTGCACAAGCATTCCTGTTTCTCCACATCCTCACCAACACTTGTTACTTCTTGTCTTTTTGATAATAGCCATTTTAACAGGTGTGGGGTGATATCTCACTGTGGTTTTGATTTGCATTTCCCTGATGATTAGTGATGTTGAGTATCTTTCCATGACCTGTGTGTCATCTGTATGTCTTCTTTGGAAAAATGTCTATTCAGATCCTCTGCCCATAGTTAAATCAAATTGTTTGTTTTTTTGCTATCGAGTTGTATGAGTTCTTTATAGATTTTGGATATTACCCACTTATCAGATATATAATTTGCAAATATTTTCTCCTATTCAGGAGGTTGCCTTTTCATTTTGTTGATGATTCCTTTGTTGTGTGACCTCTGCACAATTTTATTTCCTTTGTAGATCCAATCAAAACTCACTGTGTAATATCCCTCACAGAAATCTGATTATGACCACCAGGGGGAAGGGGGTTCAGTAAGACTTTCCCCTCCTCTTAACAGCACCGATAACACACTGTATCCTAGGTGCATACCTGAGTCTCCGAGGTGGTTGATCTCCCAGAACAAAAATGCTAAAGCCCTGAGGATCATTAAGCACATCGCAAAGAAAAACAGAAAATCTCTGCCTCCCTCTCTTCAGGTGAGCCAGTGCTGAAGTATTAAATCAAAGAGCAGTGAAAAGCAGGATTTGGGAAAACCGCGCACTGTCTCAATGGGGCGCCCCAGAAGGGGCCTGCCATATGTAGCAGGACATTTCTGTTGTGCTAAGATTCATGGTTCTCTAGTTGAATGTTTTAGACAGAAAATACAAAACTAAAAGGAAACCAAGAACCTTTTGAAAGTCAAATGAGGAGCTTCTATCTTGGGAAACGCAAGGCTGTGCTGACCACTCCTGCCTTAGTACCTGATGACTTGTTCACCCCTGTGTCCCTCAGCATCCTCAGGGAAGGAGGTTTTCCCAAGGGAAGATGCCCAGATCAGTAAAACAGTTCTTCACACGCAAATAATTTCTTAGAATTTAAAAAATTTTGGATAGAAAATGTCCCAAAACATTTTATGCAATCTCCTGCCTTCTTGAATAGAACAAATTACTGAGGAGTCCATTTTCTCTGTATTTAGGGTTCTGCCCTTAGTAGACCTCAGCACCTTTAACTGAAACCTTTTCATCTGATGGGGGCTGGAAAAGAGAACATCAAGCTAATTAGAAAATTATGTTGAAATAAGGTAAATCATTTCTGAATGAAGATCTAGGATAAGTAACCTGTAAGAATTTGAGATTTACATGACATTTAGAATGAGGATTTTTGGGCACAGAGGCCTTTTCTCTTCCCTTCCTCTCTGGTTTCTGGGTGGTTGGAATACGTATTCTTTTCCGCTAATGACTGGCATGGCACTGATTTTTAGGTTTTAGGTCCTTTCGGAGAGTTTCCAGAGAATAACGCATGCATGAGGCATCGCCTCACCCAAGTTCAGAGTTCATGTAGCGATGATAAGTCTGGTCCTTGCTGGTCTTGCTGGAGGTGGCTTCACTTTTGGGGCGTGTCTTTCATGCACCATCATATATTGCTTTAGGAGAGAGTCAGAATCCTGGAGATTGAATCTCAACTCCATCACCTACTATTCTCTTGGAGAGCAGGGCTTCTCAAATGTTAATATCTATGCACAGGACTCACCTGGGAACCTTGTGAAAATGCAGATTCGGATTCAGTCTCTGTGGGCTGGGGCCTGAGATCTTTCATTCTAACGAGTTCAAGGTGATGTCAAGCTGGTCCAAGTGCCAAGGTCCCAGAGCAGAGCCTCCTGACCGATGGGTGACAAATGAGTCCGCATCAGAGAGGGCGTTTCAACCCCACTGGGCTGGGCCTCAATTTTACCCCATTGTGCTTTACCAATAGTATCCCTTTATATGTGTGCATGAGTTACCTAACCTCTCTGTAGCCCAGCTTCCTCTTCTGTGAAATGGGGTGAAAAACACAGACCCTAACTTCTCGGAGACTTGTAAAGATTAACTGAGCTGATGTGTGTGAAGGGCTTAGCCAAGTCCTGGGCACATGATAAGCAAGTATAAGGTACTATCGCTGTTCCCTGTATGACCCTGGGACACGATCACTGAAAACACTAAAGCCATTCCTATTGTTTCTATTCTTAGAGCCTCAGACCTGATGAGGAAGTTGGGGAGAAGTTGAATCCTTCATTTCTGGACTTGGTCAGAACCCCTCAGATAAGGAAACACACTTTGATCTTGATGTACAACTGGTAAGGAATATTTTTCACTTTAAAATCCCTCCAAATTCTTTTAATCCTAAGCATCCACATTACGGGAACAAGAGTACTTTCACACAGCCTAGTTCCAGTATTAGCATCGATGGTGGATGGCAAGATGGCTCCTTTATAGCAGGTTTTTCTGATAACATTTTTCTCAGGCAGATGTTGAAATCAGCTCACAGTCCCAAAGCATCCCTCAGAACATTCTCAACCTTGGCTTCACCCTAGAATCTCTTGGGAGATTGTAAAACACCAAGGCCAGACTCCTCCCCCACAAGGATACTGATTTGATTGGTCAAGGGAAGGGCCCAAGAACCAATACTTTTAAATTTCTCCAAGTGATTCTAATATTTGGCCAAAATGGAAAACTATTGGCATGGATTAATCAATGATGAGTGTAGATCTCTCCTGATCATACAGGGCTGACAAGGAAAAGGCCCTTTCTTTTTCTTTTCTACCCGGAGGAAAAAAATTAACTTCCGAACAAGAGTGAACCACAAGAATAATCCACGGGCTCCAGAATCCAGTAACTTAAGCCTGTTTCCCTGTCTGCAGGTTGCTCTCAGAGCTTTGAGCTGTTCCCTCTGCACCAAGCTTTCCTTAGTGCAACACACTTTCCTTGCAGCTTGCAGCATTGGGATGACTCACACCAGCCAAATGAAGATTTATAACCACTGACAAAAGCAAAACTCATCAGGAATTAACTTAGCAACATTCACAATATTGCGTGTAAAATGCAGCAATGAAATTTGGCCTCATCTTCCTTCTTTCCTTTTCTGAAAAATTGTGACTCTTGCCAATTATCCTCATATTTTCCATTACAGACAATGGACACTTTTAGTCCACAAAACTAGAAACATCATGAAAATGTTTGTATCAGTCCAGAAGATAAATCATCAAGAAGGGAGGCTGTATCCATTTGGTCTTCCAGTTTCTCAAAATCTGAATTAAGTAGTCAATCTTTTTGATCTCAACTGCATTAGAAGACCACAAAGAAACAAATAATTAACAACCACTAATAACCTCATATCGTTTTACTAGATAAATCACTCTAGTAAGACATTTTTTTCTTGCCTTTCAATTTGGCCAGGGAACGCTATCCTAATTTCTTCCCCTTTCCTGGTTCTGAGGTCACAGCCAGCCATGGCATTGGGTCAGATAGGGTAAAAACAATGGAATGGAGGGAATAGCAATAAGAAGATGGCAAAGAAAAGTGATCTACAGTCAACTCTTATTTTTCCAGAAGCCTCTCCCTTTCCCTGACTTCCTTTTGGTGCTTGGCTTGACCTAAGCTCTTCTCTTTGCTCAGGTTCACGAGCTCTGTTCTCTACCAGGGCCTCATCATGCACATGGGCCTTGCAGGGAGCAATATCTACCTGGATTTCTTCTACTCTGCCCTGGTTGAGTTCCCAGCTGCCTTCATCATCATCCTCACCATTGACCGCATTGGTCGCCGTTATCCTTGGGCTGCATCAAATATGGTGGCAGGAGCAGCGTGTCTAGCCTCGGTTTTTATCCCGGCTGGTAAGTTTCAGGCCAAGCTGGCACTTGTCTTCCAAGGCCCTGAGAAGAGGGAGTGTCACAGCCCTTTGATAGGAAGAACATGTAATTTATCATCCAAATCAACTTGAAAAGAATGAATGCAATTTCTAGGACCTTCCTGAGCAAACCCATATGGCCACCCTGCCTTTAAGAACAGTGACACCTCATGGTTGCCTGATGTAACATAATCACACTGGATGGTTGCCTGATGTACTACAACAGGAGAGGCAGTGAGAGCCACACTACAGGCCCTCAAGCTGGCCCAGAGCAGACAGCAGGGGCTTTGGGGTAGAGCAGGCCCAGGGTTAAGTCTTATTCCAGCATGTTCCAGATATTATTTAGGCACCCTTGACCTCCCTGCATCGCCCTGCAGAATAAATGAGAAAACTTAAGAAAATGCCACCAATGAACAGTTATTCAGTTCCTTTTAAAATATTTTCTCAATAAAGGAGAGCAAAAGCCTGTGTGACGGAATGGAGCATCGTTTGAATCCTTCAGTTTTTAGCAATTATTTAGAATATTGCTCACATTTTGCATTTCTTTGGGGTGACCTCTCTAGACTACAGTTGGCTCAGCTTTGGAAACCAGTATAATTCTGTTGTCATTAATGACTGAGGTCTCAAGTTAAGAGAGTGTTAGGACTGTGTCTAAAGTTGAAACAGACAGACGTGGAGAATTTGCTGATGTTGTCTCGAGTCTATAGAAGAACAAATTTTGCATTCTTGTCCCATTCTGGAATGTGGACTTTCCCCTTGCAAATCCCACTCTGGAGCACTGTTTGAAGACTAGGGATCATGTGCAGTAGTATGTGTAAGTGGTGTGTTTTTTCCCCTCAGATCTACAATGGCTAAGAGTTACAGTGGCGTGCTTGGGTAGAATGGGGATTACGATGGCCTATGAAATGGTTTGCCTTGTCAACGTGGAACTGTACCCCACGTTCATCAGGTGAGCACATTTTCCTCAGCATGAAGAGTGGTTAGGACATTCGCTTACTGGCTAGAACTACCACAGGTGCCAGCAGAGGACCCCTTACGCTGCAAAACACAGGGTAAGAGAAGATGAGAACATTTCAAGGCAGTAACAGGTTCACATCTCACACTTATAGACTTTAAACTACAGAAACTGTGTGGGGAGAACAGAAGATATTGAATCGCAAGAGAGGGATTACCAAATGGCCACAGGAGAAAGTGATGGGGAACAGCACAAACAGGACTATAGAAACAGCTCAGGGAAGCCAGATGATCAAAGCAAAAAGTAAAAATCACCACTCCCAATTAAAAATCTTCAAGAAAGCTAATATAAAACAAGTACAACAGAGTATGAATGGAATTATGTGCCATGTATCATTTATATGCATTAAAATAACATGAACACTTTTTTCCAGTTCACAGGCATTTTGATGATTTGGGGAAGTATTTATTTGGGGGTAAGGTGGGAGATAACCATTGTATTGTGATAAGTCAAAAAGTTAAATCAGTTTCCTGCACTTCAGGAATCTTGGTGTCCTCGTCTGCTCCTCCATGTGTGACATCGGTGGCATGGTCACGCCATTCCTGGTCTACCGACTCACCAATATCTGGCAAGAGCTCCCACTGGTGGTCTTTGGTAAGAAATCCTCAGAGATGTCTTTAAATGAAAACCTGTTTTTCTAGGGACCTTCCTTTTCTACCTCAAAATAGGCGTCATGCCTATTAGTAACTAGTCAATATGACTAGCAATTAGTACTAGTTAGTGGGAGTAAGACTAGTATTCATAATGCTGTTAGTACCTTCTAAGACTCTATACGGGAACCCACTAGGACTCACACCCTTAGAGGTACAAAGTCAAGAAAGAGTGAGGTGGAAGGAAGCTTCCCTGAAGAATGCCCCTCTCTCCTCACTGATTTCCACCCCTCCTTGGGTCTCTTTGTTGAAGAGCTCACTCTTTCTGCCTCCTCTATGCCCAGATGTGGAAAAATACAAAACATTCACTTCATTACTTCAAGGAAAGGCGGTTAAAATTTTGCAAAGGGCATTTCGAAGCCCAGGTTAGAGAAAGACCAAGGCAAAGAAAATGCATCAGCATAATGGAACACTTGTGTTGGTGTTGTCACCCCTTCTTCAGATTAAATTGGATTTAAGGAGCACTGGCACAGCACTTCCCTTCTGACGCTGCCCGTGGAGTTGGGGCAAGCAGGAATGTACCAACACAGAGTCCTCTCCATGCCCGACCAGCCTGCAGGATAGAAGGTGACAGGGACAAATCTAACTATCAACAATTAACACACAGAGGTGTATGTTAAACACAAGTCTGCAGACCGTGAAACGGGACAGGGAATGCTGGGCACTTCCATTCATTCAGTGTCCATGGCTTTGTCCCCAAGCTGTAGCCTATGGAACAGATTCTCCTCTTCTACGTGTCCACACAGACAGGTCTCCAGGTTCCCACACACAACATTCACCTTCTCATGTCAGCCGGAATGCCTCAGTGCACCCATTTCAGTTTCCTTTAAGATCCATTCTGAACATCTTTTCATGTGTCTGTTGGCCATCTGTCTATCTTCTTTGGAGAAATGTCTGTTCAGGTCTTTTGCCCATTTTTTAATTGGGTTGGTAGTTTTTTTGTTGTTGAGATGCATGAGTTCTTTATATATTTTGGAGATTAAGCCCTTATCAGATGTATGGTTTGCAAATATCTTCTCCCAATTGTTAGGTTGTCTTTTCGTTTTGTTGATGGTTCCCTTTGCTGTGCAGAAGCTTTTTAGTTTGATGTAGTCCCATTTGTTTATTTTTTCTATTGTTTCTCTTGCCCGGTCAGATGTGGTGTTTGAAAAGATGTTGCTAAGACTGATGTGGAAGAGCATACTGCCTATGTTTTCTTCTAGAAGTTTCATAGTTTCAGGTCTTACATTCAAGTCTTTAATCCATTTGGAGTTAATTTTTGTGCATGGTGTGAGGTAAGGGTCTACTTTCATTTTTTTGCATGTGGCTATCCAGTTTTCCCAACACCATTTGTTGAAGAGACTTTCTTTTCCCCATTGTATGTTCTTGGCTCCTTTGTCAAAGATTAGCTGTCCACAGACACATGAAAAGATGTTCAAAATCACTAACTATCAGGGAAATGCAAATCAAAACTACAATGAGATATCACCTCACGCCCGTCAGAATGGCTATAATTAACAAGACAGAAAACAATATGTGTTGGAGAGGATGTGGAGAGAAGGGAACTCTCATACACTGCTGGTGGGAGTGCAAACTGGTGCAGCCACTATGGAAAACAGTATGGAGATTCCTCAAAAAATCAAGGATAGAACTACCATATGATCCAGCTATTCCACTGTTGGGTATTTATCCAAAGAACTTGAAAACACCAATGCGTAAAGATACATGCACCCCTGTGTTCATTGCAGCGTTATTCACAATAGCCAAGACTTGGAAGCAACCTAAGTGCCCATCAAGGGATGAATGGATAAAGAAGCTGTGGTATATATACACAATGGAATACTACTCAGCCATAAGAAACGATGAAATCCAGCCATTTGTGACAACATGGATGGACATTGAGGGTATAATGCAAAGTGAAATAAGTCAGAGGGAGAAGGTCAAATACCGTATGATTTCCTTCATTAAGTAGTAGATAATAACAACAATAAACAAACACATAGGGACAGAGATTGGATTGGTGGTTACCAGAGGGGAAGGGGGGAGGGAGGAGGGTGAAGGGGATGATTCGGTACATGTGTGTGGTGATGGGTTGTAATTGGTATTTTGGTGGTGAACATGATGTGGTCCATGCAGAAATAGAAGTAAAATGATGTACACCTGAAATTTTTACAATGTTATAAACCAATGTTACTGCAATAAACAAAAAATTAAAAAAAAAAAAAAAGATCCATTCTGAGCTGTTTTTAATTTGGCAAAAATATAACACTTTTCCATGGGCATACAGCACTCGCTTAATTTGGGGGAGGGAAGATAAGACCCCTTAGGTGCACACCAGGGGAGTGCCCCATCGCTTTTCTCCTAACGCTGTGCATTGCCACCCACAAGTAACTCTGCTCATTCCTCTTTCTCAAGGGATTTGTGAGGGGGAAAATTTTCCACTGTATAACTGCCGGCAAAAGTCCCAAACCGTGGATAGAACTCACCCTCGAAACAGACCCAATGAATTCCTCCACGTTCCAACTGAATAACAACAAGATGGCCCAAGTTGATAGAACACAAGCTCTTTATCCTGAGATAACCATGATTTGGCCACAGGGAGGCTGGCACTGCTTATGGGACATACGTGCCCCAGATTCCTTCCTCCCCCAACACTGGCTGAGGGACCTGTTCCCAGAGCCCCCTTTCCATCTCTGGGAAGTGCCATTACACGCTCTGAACTCCTTCCTTCCAGGGAGGAAGTTAGAGATGCCTCAATCTCGGCCACTCCCTTACGTGGGCAGTGAGGGCTCAATGGGTCAGTGGGGCATTTCTGGGTCAAGAACAGATACTTGTTTCTCTAAGTGCTATTAAACAAAGCAGTGCAAAGTCTGGACCCAGAGGAACCGTTTTTGACCCTCCCTCAGACCTTGCCTTCCCTAGAAAAGATAAAGGATTTTAACTGCATTTCAACATTTAGAGTAAACTGAAAGACAATTCTCAATTTTATTTTTGCTAGTTCTTTCATCTTCTTTCCTCACCAGCCATTAATCTGAGTAGCTAGCAGGAAGCAAAAGTAATAGTTTTGCACTTTAACTTCTTTCCCTTTTGTTTCCCACACAATAATGGTGTGCTGACTGTGGTCTTGAAATAGCCAGAAACCGTGATCTAGAAGCCTGAAAATCAACAAACCAACACACTGGAAAATCCTGATTCAAAGAGCACTGGAAAAATTGATAGGGAATATCCTGGTTAATTAGGCCTATCTTTGCACATATAAAATGCTAAATGGATGCCAATTTGATTAAGCTATTGTATTGTCTTCATAATTCATACACTTCAGAGAATCAAAGCCAACTAAGTATGTTTATTGTTTGCATGAGTTACAACCAGGTGAATCTTCAGAGATTTGGAAGATTTTGAGAGGTTAGCTATTTAGTTTATACCATGTGGCAGGTAGTGTTCTAAGCACTTAACAAATATGAGTTCATTTTAGCCTCAGAACAAGTCTGTGAGGTGGGTATATCACACCACTTTATATAGGGGAGTCTGGAGCATCAAGGAGATTGTAGAACTCCCTGGGGCTCTCAGACCAGAAAGCAGGGGTCAAAATTGGAACCCAGGTGCCCAGAGCTACAGCCAGTACCCTGAACCACTGCACTCTGTGGCCTCTGTTTCTGTCTTTTTTTTCACTTGAGGAAGATTTGCCCTGAGCTAACATCTGTGCCCATCCTCCTCCACTTTGTATGTGGGTTGCCACCACAGCATGGCTGACGAGTGGTGTAGGTCTGCACGTGGGATCCGAACCCACGAACCCAGGCCACTGAAGCAGGACGCGCTGAACTCAACCACTACACCATGTTTCTGTCATTTTCTAAGGACACAAAAATGGAGTCCAGCATGCATTTTTTTGAAACCCCAAAACCAGTGAAGAACCCACATCCCACTTGTGCATTCTATTACAGAAAAACATGTAAAAATGTAATCTTAAAATCCCAAAACTTCAACAGGAATTTAAAGAAACAAAAACACTATTACCCCCAGCATAAGCAAGAGATTACAGCTGGAGACAAAGAAAAAAGAAACAAGGAGAACTTATCGAACACCTGAATTAGAACTAAAAGGCCTGGCTTTACTTTTTAGTGTTGTTATGCAGTAATACATGATTCATTACTTTTATTTGCTAGTAATGATCCAAGTTTCTGACGTTTTCATTACTAAGTGCTTTATATTGGCAGGGTTATGTTCTTCCTTTTCTTAGAGCTGATTTTCTTTTTTTTCAGAGTTATTTTCTAACTCCAAAGTATCTTAATATTGTGGCAATGTCCTCTAGCCTAGAATAACCTTGACTCAAAATGTTAAGCATTTCATTTCCCTATAAGGAACTGTAACTCAACAGAGTTTGGAGTTGGCAAAATATTTATGATGGAGAATAGGGCAGTCAGAGATGGCAAAGGAATCTGTAAGGATAGGAAATCACCAACATTTTTTTTAAAAAGAAAGAAGAGGAGCTCTAATTATAGAGCCTGCATGTCTCAGTTCTTAATGTGATTTGCATCTCTTTGGCTTTCAGCCGTGGTTGGCCTGATCGCTGGAGGACTGGTGCTGTTGCTGCCAGAGACCAAAGGGAAGACTTTGCCTGAGACCATTGAAGAAGCTGAAAACATGCAGAGGTAGGGAGTTGACATTCCTAATGAACACTTGAATACATGTTTTGGGCCAATGCTGTAGCCACTTGGAAAGAAAGATGAGTTTGAATCTGTACCTCACACCATACATTGAGATCAATTCAAACTAATTAAAGACCAAAAGTACAGAAAAAGAAACAGTGAAATAATGAAGATACTATAGGAGAACACCTTCATATTTTCGTGGCAGGGAAGGTCTTCGTAAATAGGACAAAAAATCTAGGACCCATAAAAAAAATCAAAAAGTCCATCTTCAAAAAAATGTAAAATTCTGCATTGGAAAACTACCATAAGCTAAAAAAATAATAATAAACATAGAGAAAATATTTATTTCTCCACAAAGGGCTAATATCTCCAATATATAAAGAGTTCTAACAAATCCGTAAGAGCAACTACCCAATAGAAAAAATGGGCAAAGGACTTGAACAGATAATTCAGGGAAAAGAAAATGAAAACAGCTCTAAAATATACGAAAATATCCTGTACATCCTTCATAATAAGTGGAGTACAAATTAACACCGCACTAATATCCACTTGGATGGTCGAAGATCAAACCGCTTGGTAACATACTATGCTGGGAGTGAATGTGGGGAACAGTCAGTGTCCTACATTGCCCGTAGGAGTCCAAATCTAAACCCCTATGATGGACAATATGACAATAGTATCAAAATTACAAATGTGCATATCCTTTTACCTAGCAATTCCACAATTCGAGGAATTTATGTGTGCAAAATGACACATGTAAAAGATTATTCATTAAAGAAATTTTTTATGTAACAAAAGGTTGGAAACAACCTAAATGCCCATTAGTTGGGAGACCAGTTATATACGCTATGATACGTCATTCAATAAAATACTATACAGCCATTAAAAAGAATGAGGCAGCTTTATGTACACTGATAGGAAAATTCGCCTAGCTATATTATTAGTGAAAAAAGAGCAAAGCATAGAAAAGTATATTTTCTACCATTTGTGTACTATATATATTAAATATATATGCACATTTACTTGTGTTTCTGGAAGAACATGCAAGAACCATGACATTGGTTGTCTATAGAATTGAGTGGCTATGAGATATAGGTAGGAAGGAGACTTTTCAATGCATACCTTTTTTTGCTTCCTGAATTTTGAACCATATGAACCTATTCAAAAAGTAAACTAAAAAAAATCTAAACATAGAGAAACATATATGACACTCCCCACAAGTTCATTTATATGATATGCTTAGATATTTTTATTTGTTTTATCCATACTCCATTTTTGGCCCATTGGTGCCAAGAAATGAACTGAATTTTATCTTCTACAAAACCTTCACATTTAACATAGTCAGTACTTGAACAAATGTTGCTGCAAGAATTGCAATGGGGGCCGGCCCCGTGGCGCAAGCGGTTAAATGCGCACACTCCACTGAGGTAGCCCGGGGTTCGCTGGTTCGGATCCCAGGCGCACACCGACGCACCGCTTGGCAAGCCATGCTGTGGCGGCATCCCATATAAAGTGGAGGAAGATGGGCACGGATGTTAGCCCAGGGCCAGTCTTCCTCAGCAAAAAAGAAGAGGATTGGCAGATGTTGGCACAGGGCTGATCTTCCTCATAAGAAAAAAAAGAAAAAAAGAATTGCAGCGGCCTGAGGTTTTTCCTAGAACTTGAAGCTTAGAGTTACAAGAAGCCTTGAATTCAGCCAGAGGTCACACACTGGCAGCCCGCAGGACACCAGGCTCTTAAGACATTTGCCTGGCCCACACGATATTTTATAAAATGGGAAATTCCACATAAACTGGATTGCCAGGATCTGTTAAAAGAAATTGGAGGATTTGGTAACACTGAGCAGGCATTTCCTCTTTTGACAATTTGCAGGGGCTGAGTGATGGCTCTACTTTTGGAAGGGCGCGCCCACTGGAGTAGGCCACAGTCTCCCCATTCCCTAGTACCTTGTGCCTAGAACACTTATATCATCTGCCTGGTGCATGTAGACGTTTGAGTCTGAGATCCAGACCAACCATCTGCCTGCACCCCTATCTCCATGCAGCTTCCCATGCAGATGAGTGCCTACCTACCTCCCAGCCCCAGGAGGACAGAGACTACATCCCGTCTACTGTCGTATCCCGAGAGCTTGGCACAGTTCCTGGCACACCCAGAGCAGGTGCTCGCCAAATAGTTGTGGAATAAAGGCTGGGTTCCTTCGACAGCATCCCAAATTGAGGTTTCTCTGGGCTTTCCCCAGCCCGCTCCAGTGTCAAGAAGGCAGTAGTACAGGGTGTGGCCTTACCTCCTCTAAGTCTCAGTTTCTTCATCTGTAAATGGGGACAACAGTTCTTACCCATTGGATTTTTGTAATGATTGAGATGATGCGTGTAAAGTGCTGGGAGCTTTGTAAATGTCCAATAACTGCTGTTATTATGCATAGAAGTTTTCATAGCTGTTCTATAAAACAGGAAAATATGTACCTAGATGATTTATTGGAAATCTAATTTTAAAATATGTTCTGAATGGTTTTGAGATAGGGAAGTGCAACTCAGTGATATACACATGCACCTATATTTGTAAGAGTTGTTTATTTTCTTTGGGCTGGTGCGAAGTATGCTAAAGAGATATTTAAAAGATTATTGTTGTTGATATTTCATATACTTTCTATTTATGGGATCTACAAATACTTCTAGGAAGATTTGCACTTCTCTTTTTTCTGTATTATGTAACCCAGTACACCTTTCAAGACAGAAGACATTTCTGTGTGAAGCCGGGGGAATTGCAGACAGAGTGTGTGGGATGGTGAGGACTGAGGCAGAGCTGGGCCAAGGTCCACCTGCAGAGAAAGATGGGGAGGGCAGCCTGCCTGTCCGGGAGCAAGAGGGCAGACCTCACCTGGCACCTGGGGTCAGGCAGGCAGGATGGCTCACTCAGAAGAGCTGACCCAGGTGGAGCGTCCAGACACTGAGGGAGAGCCGGCAAGAACAGGGTAGCGCGGGAGCTGCCCCCCACCCCCAAGTCTCGGTTCCTACAGGCCCTGAGCCCATCCTAGTTACAAAGACAGCCTTTGACTTACTCATGTTCACCTCTTCAGCCTGTTTCCTTTTCTGTAAAATGGGGTTATAACAGTTAACATGTACTAAGAGCTTCCCACTAGTGCTTTCCAAGCCCTCCTCATGGATTCCCTCATTTAATCTTCGCAACAGCCCTATGGAGCGGGTGTCATGGTTAACTCCACTTGACAACTGGAGAAAACCCAGGCAAGAGAGATGAAAGGACTTGCCCAAAGTCACGGGGCCAGTAAGTGACAAAGCCAAGGTTCTAGTCCTGGCAGGAAGAGTCCGGGGCCCATGCTGGCGTCTCACCTCACAGGGCTGGGCTCACAGTGGGATGATGGAGGTGAGGGGCCCAGGGCACGGCTGCATTTTGTCAGTGTGGCTGCTGTGGCTGCTGCTGTTGCTGCTGCTATTGTTTTTGCTGCTGTTGTTGCTAGTGCTGTTGTTGCTATTGTTGTTGCTGCTGCTGTTGCCGCTGCTGTTGCTGTTACTATTGTTGTTGATGCTATTGTTGCTGTTTTTGTTGCTGCTGCTGCTATTGTTGTTGTTCCTACTGTTGTTGCTGCTACTGCTGTTTTTACTATTGTTGATGCTGTTGTTGCTATTGTTGTTGATGCTATTGTTGCTGCTGTTGTTGCTGTTTTTGTTGTTGCTGCTGCTGTTGTTGTTGTTCCTACTGTTGTTGCTGCTGCTGCTGTTGTTACTATTGTTGATGCTGTTGTTGCTATTGTTGTTCCTGCTGCTGTTGCTGCTGCTGCTGCTATTGCTGTCACTGTTGTTGTTGCTGCTGTTGTTACTGTTGTTATCGCTGATGCTGCTAGTGTTGTTGTTGCTGTTCCTGTTGTTGTTGCTGTTGTTTTTCCTGCTGCTGTTGCTGCTGTTGTTCTTGCTGCTGTCACTGATATTGTTGTTGCTGCTGCTACTGTTGTTGCTATTGTTCCTGCTGCTGTCACTGCTGTTGTTGTTGCTGTCACAACAGTTGTTGTTGCTGCTTCTACTGTTGTTGTTACTGCTGTCATTGTTGCTGCTGCTACTGTTGTTGTTGCTGTTGTTGTTCCTGCTGCTGTCACTGCTGTTGTTGCTACTGTAACAACTGTTGTTGTTGCTGCTGCTACCGTTGTTGTTTCTGCTGTCACTGCTATCATTGTTGCTACTGCTACTGTTGTTCTTGCTGCTGTCACTGCTGTTGTTGCTGCTGTCACTGCTGTTGTTGCTGCTGCTGCTATTGTTGTTGTTTCTCCTGTCACTGCTATTGTTGTTGCTGCTGCTACTGTTGTTGCTGCTGTCACAGCTGTTGTTGTTGCTGCTGTCACAGCTGTTGTTGCTGCTGCTATCACTGCTGTTGTTGTTGCTGCTGCTATTGTTGTTGTTGCTCCTGTCACTGCTATTGTTGTTGCTGCTGCTACTGTTGTTGCTGCTGTCACAGCTGTTGTTGTTGCTGCTGCTACTGTTGTTGTTTCTGCTGTCACTACTGTTGTTCTTGCTGCTGCTGCTACTGTTGTTGCTGCTGTCACAGCTGTTATTGTTGCTGCTGCTACTGTTGTTGTTGCTGTTGTTGCTGCTGTCACAACTGTTGTTGTTGCTGCTGCTACCGTTGTTGTTGGTGCTGTCACTGCTATCGTTGTTGCTACTGCTACC